CCCCCCCCGAAATCACCATCACTTCTCTGTCAAGGTGAGGTTTTTCCCCTCTGTTTTACATTCCTGTTACTTTTTAGATATCCAGTGAACATGATCTCTGTTGAGTCGTGTGCTTATTTTTACTCTAACTCAACATCATCATCGTTGCCTTTCACACCCTGGATCCGGAGATAGGCCACGAACAAACACTTTCCACTTTTCCCTATCCTGGGCTTGTCGCTTGATGTCACTCCATGTCTTCCCACTTTTCTGTACATCCATTTTCATGACTCTTCTCTAGGTTCCACGTGGTTTCCCCCTTGATCTTTTACCCTGTGGTTTCCAATCTAATACTTTTCTTGTAATGCAGCTGCTTGACTTCCTGAAAGTGTGTCCAATCCATCACCAACACCTTCTTCTCACCTCATCTCTGACTGGGCTCTGTTTCGTTCTTCTTAATACTTCCTCGTTGGTGTTACTGTCATGCTTGTTTTGTTTGTTTGAATAAAGAGAAGCACATATTATACACAATAAGTCAGTGCAGTGAAAAAGTTGGACAGAGAGACTGAAACAAGTGAGGGAAAGGAAAAAGTAGAACTGAACAGTGGCACCTGTTAATCATTTCAAACTCCAATTGCCCGATTTATTCAAGGAAAGTCTAATGTAGAGGTTTACTGTTTTAGCCATTGTATTAAACTTTAATAAACCAGTGTCTGTGGTGTGTGGGTGGTTGGCGGGTGCTCTGGTATGGTTTGCTTCTTCTTTCCTATCAAAGATCTATCGTCTTTAACTCCCCTCCTTCTTTTTTGTGTTTGTTACTCTGTTGTAACACTTCTAATCTTCAGCACTTATATGACCATATCATGTTGCAAGTGCCGTAAAACTCTTACTAAAACTAAACTTTCAGAAACCAGTGTCTGTTGTGTAGTAGTTAGGTGCTTTGTTGTTGCATGCAGAAGATCCGAGGTCGATTCCCTTTTTGAGAGAATTTTTATGGAGTGTGTCGGTCTTTCTGATGGGATGTTGATGTTGTATCCCCCCCGTCCCTGGTAGGCTCTGGCAATCAATGCCTTTCACCCCTGGCAGGGTATCTATAGGCCACATACAAGCTCCTTCCATTTATCTCTGTCCTGGACCGTCCTTCCTTTAGCTCCTTCCAAGTGAGCTTCATCTCTCTCATGTCCCTTTCCACGCGTCTCCTCCATTTTTCCCGTGGCCTACGCCTGCCTCGTGCTCCCTGTGGGGTCTACCGGATCAAAGCCTGCCTTTTGAATGATACGTAAACACCTCCCTTTTTGTTGTTGTTGAGTTTAACTATTTTACATTTTTTAAAAATCTTTTAATTTTTCTCTTCCCAGGTACAGGAGATACGCCACATGCCACAAGGTGCTCTAGACACTGATGACAGTAATGTTGCAGCGCCATCTTCAGCAGGTCGGCTAAACAGAGGAGGAAGAGGAGGAGGAGGATCAGTGCGCCGCCTAGTGAGTGCTGAAGAGTCCTCACTTTCTGAACGTATGTCCGCTCTGTCCATCAGCCCGTCTGAGACTGTGTCAGCAACAGACCAGAGACAGGAAAATGTTGAGACCCCTGTCTCTCGGTTCACTCCCAGCGTGCCGGCAGCTGAGCGGAGCGTGTCTGCGAGATCAGAGGATTACTGCTCCTCTGCCGTAGCTTCCTCAGCTGGCTCTAGGGCTGGAACAGCAGCTGTATCCAGCTCAGAAAACCTTCCCTCCAGCAGCACGGATGTCTCTGTTGTAGACAAAACAGTGGCTGCTGTAACTTCAGAGGATCTCTTGAGCAGCAGCACAGACATTTCTGGCACAAATAAAACAGCAGCTGTCACGACTTCAGAAGAACTTTCACGCAGCAGAACAGACAAAACAGGTGCTGTTGTTACTTCAGAAGAACCTATACACAGCAGTACAAAAAAAGCGGGTGCTGTAATAACTTCAGAAAACCTCTCACACAACAGAACAGACAAAACAGCTGCTGTTGGTCCGTCAGAAGAACTTCCCTCCAGCAGTTCTGACGTGGCTGTTGTAGACAACACTAGACCTGCGCGTTCATGTGAGTCGCGTACGTGTAGCAGTCTTGACTCTCCCACAGGAGTCGGTGTAGCGGGATGTGTGGATGACGTGGACAGTCTAGCCGGAGGGGATTCTGTCTCGTCTAATATGGACAGTGAGAAGAAGGTTTGAATTTTTCCTCAAATGGACAATGAGGTGGTTTTCCCACTATGAGATGAAAGTTTTGGGGAGTAGACAGTGCGGTGAAAGGTGAATGTTTTGAAGGTTTTCCTGAAGAATGGTCAATGAAATGAAGGTTTGCCCACAATGGGATGAAAGTTTTCGTGAGTAGACAGTGAGCAGTGAGAAAAAAAGGTGAACGTTTTAAAGGTTTTCCTGAGTGGACAAAGTTGTGAAGGTTTGAAGATTTTCCTAAATGGTCAGTGAAATGAAAGTTTGCCCACAATGGGATGAAAGTTTTCCTGAGTGGACAATGGGGTAAAGGGTTTCCCAAACTGACAATGAGACGAAGGTTTTTCCCACAGGGAGATAAAGGTTTTCCCAAAGACTTGGTTCTTGACAGCCACCAACCTTAACGGTATCAGAATGTTGTGATATGTTTTTTTTAATGTACATATATTTTTATGTTATTTACTCCTCTCTTACCGAGACTTGAGAGGAATGTTATATGGCCTATTCATCTATTGCCCATTTTATGAAATCTCTAAGCCACAATATCATTATTTTACTAGGGAATGAAATGAGTGTAAATTTTATCTCTTCACTTTGTCTGAAAGAAAGTGTACATATATTTTATGATGTTTCTTTTTTAGTTCTTGGATTGATGTAGGGAAATGACTAACAGCTAGCTGCTGTGCCATATAACTGAGAATGTTGATTTTGCACAATTTGTTTAGAGTATTTTAGATTTCATGAGTGAGCCCATGTCTATAAAATTTATTCCTTGGAGATTTTCATTAAAGTGTTTTAAGAGATAATCACACAGAGTTCTATCAGGCATTTTGCTTATGTTCGAACATGGCGCTTTATTCAAGTTGGAGCACATTTCTTGCTTGTTCTTCATAAGGTCACGCCAGACGTCCTCACAAATGGTGCGTTCCTTTGGAAGTGCCTCGAAGTTGACAGAAAGCTTGTACCAATAGAGATTGTAGTAATAGTGGACACAATAATGAAGACCAAGAAGATCACTTGTCTCTTTGGATTTTTTTCTTCTATGTCCCATTGAAACATTTTTCTATTAGTATCTGTGGTGTAATTATTATGCTCTGTGCTGTGCACTGCACTCTCAGGACACTATGCTCCCCCATCTTTCAGCCTACACGCCCCCCCCCTTCCCTCATCATACTCTCCTCTCCCTCACCATAGTCCCCCTCCCACCCCCCAGGACGGTGCTACCAACTGAAGTGTCTCTTGCCATTCCCAAAGGGGGGACACTAACATGTTCTTATTCACAGTAGAATTGTGAATGGGTTGATTCATCAATGTAATGCTCATATCTGTGCCTGAACTACAACAGGGAACTGCTGCTTTTTCTTTCCTAATCCTTACTATCGTCATTTCCCCTCTATTTCTTTTGTATGTTGTTTGTCACACTCTTGTGACCCACTATTTCCGGGGTGCCTTGATAGTCGAAGCAGACTTTGTGCTGTTGAAGCTAGAGACGTGAGAAGAGTAAACCAGATTCCCTATAAGGACTTCTCTGTTGACATCCACCGTTGGCGCTCATATGACCTTATCCAGTTGCGAGCGACATAAAACCTTACTAAAACTTAAAAACCCCAATACCCATACCCTTACTTATCAATATCGTAGACTATAAAGTTCAGTAAACCCATACCCTTACATATCAATGATTAAAAACTAAATTCAATAAGGAGACTCTCCTGGTCTAGAGGTACAGTGTTTGCCTCTCGTTCTAGAAGTCCCAGGTTCGAAACTTGACAGCAACGGGGGAAATTTTCTTTTCTAAAAATTTTCTGCTCCCATCTTTCCTGCTCTCTAATCATGTTCTGTCGTCTGCTTCCCTCTCCACTTTCTGTTCTCTCGTCCCTCCCCCCTTCACTCTTTGCCCCATCCTCTGGGCTCCTGACTCTTTCTGCAGCCTTTCTACTGCTACTCTTTGGCTCCTTCTTACTGCTGGTTGATCTTAGGATAGTAAGATCTAACACCTAGCCTTCTTGGATAAGGGCGAAAATCTCGGAGTTCACATGTGCAAATTGTACACGTTTGAGATCCCATGGTGGCCCTAAAATCGATAAGAGTAGGCTCCAGCTGCCATCCGCGCAAAATTAAAATTAATTTCTATCAAACTAAACATGCATAATGTGTTCCGCGCGCTCATATGACCTTATGCAGTTGCGAGTGCCGTAAAACACTTTCCAAAACAAAAACAAAAGTTCAATAAATGCTTACTTTTATCGATGGAAATAAACTAAAAAAAGCCTTTAAACGCATAGACAGTTCTCTAAGGAAAATTCTAGAGAGATGCTCCATGTCTCATTTCCAGCAAAACAACATCCCCCCCTTCCCTGTCTCCCCATTGTGTTGTTGGCTGCTATCAAAATCTACCCTGCAGCAATGCATGAAAATGTGATCATCATCACTGACCCCCTCCCCTCCTTTCCCCATAAGTCATCATTCCCCCCCCCCCCCCTGAAAACTGTTAAGTTGATGCTAATACATGTAATGATATGCTTCATTCGGGGAGGGAGGGGGAGTGAAGGCTGGAAACCTTTACTTTTGAATGATGATACTTTTATTGTTTTCTTGTCTTTTATTAGTTATCTTACCTACTGCTGAAGATAAGGGAAACTAAAACAACGTAATATGCTGAAGGCACTAAGTTGTGGCAAAGTTGGAAAGGTGAAAGCTCGACTCTCGCAGGGACAAAAGGAGAGAAAGAGCCCGTGGTTGTGTAACTGTATGTAAACGTACGAGTATTATACAAGATGGGTTCAAGAAATCTTTAGTCTAAATATGAAGGAATAAAGATACATGTACAGCTTTGTAACTTGGCACACACACTTTCATTTCTCTACATAATCACCATGCGGAGTTACTCATTTCTGCCACCCCTCTTCGACCTTCAAAAGTCCTTGAGAAAAAAAAAAGACCCAGAATGGGCTCCTAACCAGTCTTTTACAGCTCCAGTGGCGTCCTCGTTGTCATGGAAACGACGTCCTTTCAGTGATTTTTAAAGATTAGGAAACAGAAAAAAGTTTGAAGGGGCTAGGTCTGGTGAATAAGCTGGGTGTAGTAGGATTTCAAAGCCGCATTGTTCTGCTGTCTGGACTGCATGTTGTGTCCTGTGCGCAGGGGCGTTGCCATGCAGTAGGAGGACCCCATTACGGAGTTTTACACGCCTCTTTCTTAACAATTCAGACCGCAATTTTATCAGCAAACCCGAATAGTAGTCCCCTGTGACTGTTTTTTTTTTCATTTTCCTGGTAGTCAGTCAGGATGATACCTTCACACTCCCCAAAACACGACAGCATGACCTTTTCACTTGATGGTGTTACCTCTACCTTCTTTGGTGAGGCAGAAGAAGGGGTTTTCCATTGCATTGAGGACTTTTTTGTTCTGGATCAAAATGATAAATCCATGTTTCATCCATAGTCACCATGTTTTTTAAAGAAATGTGTGTCATTGGACTCAATTCGAAGGAGAGTTTTGCAGGACTCAACCCTCTGCTTCTTTTGCTCACTTTTCAAAAGGCGGGGTACCCACCGCGCAGGTAACTTATTCATGTTAAGATGGTCATGGGGAATCGTTTCAATTGATCATACTCTGATTCCCTTTTCACTTGAGAGCTGTTTAACAATTATACGTCGGTCTTGCAAAGCCAGTTTCTTCAGTCTGGATACATTCTCTTCAGTTACCACAAAGGATGGGCGCCCTTCACGATCTTCATCCATCACCGACATGAATCCAGATTTGAATTTACTAACCCAGAATGTCACAGTATTATAACGAGGACATGTGTCACCATAAACTTGGATAATTTCCTGAAAAAATGTCCGAAAGGGATTTTCCTTGCAAATGTAAATGCTTGATAACTGAGCGATATTCAACTGGCTCCATGGCACAGCTTCAGCAAAGAAAAACCAAACGTTTTTGTACATGGTTTCATTGAACACGCTGACTAGTGTCTTATTATTGTCGGATTTTCCTGAAAATTTGCATGCTGTGTTACAAAAAATTTTTCTAAAGGCTGAAAGGCTGGCGAAATTTCATCACTCTATCATGATTTCTTCATACCCAGACCAAATACTTATTGACCCCCCCCCCCACACGCATATTATATATACTCTTTGAAACACAGTCATGCAAAAATAAACAGTTTTTGGCTATATTTTCAACACATACATTATTATTCAGGGATGTAGACAAAGAAGGGGACTCGTGGCCTAGAGGTTAAGGTGTTCGTCTCTCATTCAAAGGGCCCGGGTTCGAATCAAGGTAGCGGCCGAAATATTCTCTTCTCCAAAATTGTCTCCTTTCACCTCCTTTCCTGCTCTCTAGCAAAGTTCTGTAGTCTGCTTTCGTCTCCATTTTCTTCCCCCATCCCCTCACCTCCTTTGCCCCCTCCTCTGGGCTCCTGACTCTTTCTGCAGCCTTTTTACTGCTACTCCTTGGCTCCTTACTACTGTCTTTCAGCTGCGCCCCTGATCTTCTGGTAGTAAGGATATACACTTAGCCTTCTTGGACAAGGGCGAAAAACCTCGGAGGCCCCGTGAGCAAGTTGCGCACGTTAAAGGTCCCTTGGTGGTCTAAAATCGATAAGAACATGTTTCGGCCGCCACCCAGGCAGAATTCAAAATTTCCTACCAACTGAAAATTTTTAATGTGTCCCGCGCGCTCATATGGCCTTATATAGTTGCGAGCGCCGTAAAACTCTTACAAAAAACAACAACAACAACAACCCAACGAAACAAAAAAAACCTAAAAATAAAAAGTAGACGAAGAGGGACAGTAACGGAGTGTGATAACCCCTCGGCATTGATGGCGGCTAGACATCGTCACGTCGACGCTAGGGGCCAAGGGAGCTGAGTGGCTGTTCCTTCACTATTCAATTAATCAGGCTTGCTTTTTTTTGTATTTTGGTAGTGTTTTACGGTACTTGCAACTCAATAAGAAGCCCGTACGAGTAATAATAATATGAGTGCCGAAGATTAGAAGTGTTACAAGAGAGTAACAAACACAGAAAAGAGGGGGAGATAAGACCGATAGATGTTTGATTGGAAAAAAGGAGGAAACAAGTCCAGAACACCCGCCAACCACCCGCATTAATCTTGTTAAAACCATAACAGACCATACCTATCACAATAATATCCCAGATGAGCATTATCATCGCGGCGGTGTAACACGCTCAGAACACTACCACCATGCAATAAAGCTATCCCCGTGGTTTTATGCACCCCGCATAATTTAGCAAAATTGATCATTTTTTTGCATAATTTCTGATTATTTTCCTTTATCATTCTTTGTTAAAATTAACAAAATCGCATAATTTCACATTTTTGGGCTCATTTTGCATAATTTCAGATTTTTACTTTCCTAAAAAGGACAGGGACAGACAAAGACTACCGTAATGGTTTTGGCGTAAGCTTTCCTGCCATGAACACCACCATTGTGATTTTTTTGCACATTCTGTAAACTTAGTGACTTTGGCGCACGCTATGAACACTATCTAAAGCCAAAAACACTACCGCTTACCTTACACGCCAGACTGATTACCCACGCCAAAAACACTATCGTCATTCTTGAATAAATACTATTGCGGTTGTTTTCGTGGTTTGGACATTATGTTCAAAACGCTATCCCAGTATTTTTAAGACCAGTAACTTGGGCAGAAAAAGCTAAATCGATACAACTACAACACACACAGACATGGGGAAAAATGCGAAAAAAGCCCCAATGTTACTTTCGGTTTGTCTTTTAAAATGAGAAACGCAGGCTTATTTCCGCTGTTTTTTCCTACTTCTTAGAAACACGATTTGGTTTTAAAGATTCCGCAAAATGTCCAGCCAGTCTTGCTACACATCACAATGGCTAACTTGGGCAGCATGTTTAGTGAGATTGAAAAGTTTTTTACTGCAAGGAAAAATATCCCGAGACGTTGGATGGGGCAGCCAGGTAAAAAGACAAATTTTAAACGGAATGCAAGAAACTACTCACTTTTGGACGGCATACTCTACCGTTGGGATTTGCGTCGTTGACCGAGTGGTTAGGCTACCGGACTCGTAATCGTGGGGTTGCGGGTTCGGGGGTTCGAGCCGCGGGCCCGACGTTGTGTCCTTGGGAAAGACAGAGAACTTTACACGAACTTTCTTCACTTCACCCAGGTTGAAATGGGTACCCAGTCTCGCGAAAGGTCTTGTCAGTATGTTAGTGTTTTAGCGCCTATAAATGGCTGCTTGCACTGTATGCTTCCCAGGAAGTTGAGATTGTTTCAGAATGCTCTCAGGTCTGCTGGGGTAATAGTATAGATTAGGAAGCGCATATAGCTTGCTGCTGAGCGGGGATTTGCGCTATACAAATGCTATCTATCTATCTATCTATCTATCTATCTATCTATCTATCTATCTATCTATCTATCTATCTATCTATCTATCTATCTATCTATCTGTTATCATTATTATTAATTTATTATTAATTTATCATTATTATTATTATTTTTAAAAAAATTTGAATCCACAACCTCCTGGTTGGGAGATGAACGCTCCAGCTAGTTCCTCTCGTTGCCATTTTTTCAGTGAAGTGTTCAGTCTTTGGAACAAGGTTGCGGAAAAGAAAAAAGTCGAAGAATTCACGATTTTCTTGACATCTTTATTTCGAGTTTTGCTTGTATCTTTTCGAGTTTTTAATAGTGAGAACAACCTTTGGAACGAACAAGGTTGCGGAAGAGAAAAAATTCAAAGAATTCACGATTTTCTACACATTTTTATTTCGGGTTTTGCGTGCATCTTTTCGAGTTTTTAATAGTAAGAAAAGGCCCAGCGGAAACATCACAAGGCAGTCGCTGCGCGCTCATATGACATTATGCAGTTGCGAGCGCCGTAAAACTCCTACTAAAACAAAATACATGTAAAAACAGTCGTTGCAGTGGAACCCACAGGGAGCACGAGGCATGGGTAGGCCACGGGAAACATGGAGATGTGTGGAAAGGGACATGAGAGAGATGAAGTTCACATGGAACGAGTTTGAAAGGTTGGCCAAGGACAGAGATAAACGGAAGGAGCTTGTATGTGGCCTGTACCCTGCCAGGGGTGGAAGGCAGAGATGTACAGTAAAAAAGTATAACAATTATTTTAGGATTTTGAAATGTTTTCGAGATTCGTGATATTCGAGTTTTTTTGGTTCCATTGTATGTGTGTATCTCAGCCGTCCCTATTTGGCCTTTTCGGTCCGCGGGCCCCAGTAAACAAAAGCTGGGGGCTCTCGTGGCCTAGAGGTTAAGGCGTTCGCCTCTGATCTAAAGGTCCCGGGTTCGAATCCGGGTAGCGGCCAAAAATTTTTCTCTCTAGAATTGTCTCCTTTCCTTCTCTCTAGCATTGTTCTGTCGTCGCTTTCGTCTCCTCTTTCTCCCCCCACCCCCTCACCTCATTTGCCCCCTCCTCTGGGCTCCTGACTCTTTCTACAGCCTTTCTACTGCTACTTATTGGCTCCTTCTTACTGCTGTCTTTCAGCCACAACCCTGATCTTCTGGTAGGAAAGATCTACACCTAGCCTCTCGGACAAGGGTGGAAAATCTCGGAGGGCCCGTGTGCAAGTTGTGCACATTAAAGATCCCTTGGTGTTCTAATATCGATAGGAGTAGGCTTCGGCCACCACCTGGGCAACAATTCCTAACAACTGAAAATGTTTAATGTTTCCTGCGCGCTCATACATGTATGACCTTATGCAGTTGCGAGTGCCGTAAAAAAAAACTTATTAAAAAAACAACAACAAAACAAACAAAAACAACAACAACAACAACAAAAACAACAAAAGCAACAAAAGCTGACTAACTAGTATGAATATATAATGTTTATTGCTATTGATTTACATATTCTAGTTTTTCTGTTGTCAAGTTATGTACGGTACAAAATGTTGTGTCTCTATTGCTCATGTTTGTTTGTGCTGACACTTTTGTGATTAATTAATTATATATATATATATATATATATATATATATATATATATATATATATATATATATATATATATATACACACAAATATATTATAATAAAAATGGGCATTGACGTCTGGATCTGTTGTATTAAGTCATCAATTCTTTGGATTTTTGTTTCATTTTTAAAATATATTTACTCCAATTATTATGTCTTCGTATACCTGGTAGCCTATCTTTGTTACCCTCTCTGATTGTCTGCAAGCTCCTGTTTGTCTTGTACTTGTACTCTTTCTGTCTAATTCTCTCTGAATATTTTGTCTTTGTATTTTGCAGTATTTTTTCCCGTGACCTTTTTCTGTCTGTCTGCCTCAGCATCTGTCTCTCTAATCTCCTTCTCTCTATGTAGTAAGCATTATAACTAAGAGATGGCACCTGAAATGAGGGTTTTGCTTTAAAATAACATTTAAAAAACTCGTTCCTTTAGTTTAGCCACTATTGTGTCATTTTACCAAGCATTATGTCTCAAATAGATTCTAAATGCGTTTGAAAGGCAGTGATTTACAATTTCTGAGAACAAATTTGGAATTAAAATTGCATTTTCTTCGAAATCATATATTTCTGTACCACGATGAGAAACGGCATTGCTAAAACAGACAGAAATGAAAGTCAGCAAAAACTCAAGCCCACTAAACATCACCACCGACTGTACACTGCTCAAACAGATTGGGGGATGCAATGCATATTTACAGAGGACCAAAGTTTGGACAGGGAAATTGAAATGAAGACCCCCAAAAATGCAGTACCCTATCAACTGTCACCACTACTCACCCATTATAAACACCTAGCAATAGAAGTAGAAATACATATTATCAAAAGCATATATTCCTTCCAACACTGACTCTCTAATGCCAGACAAGGCGACTATGGCACAAGAGAAAGATCTTTGACTGTAAGATAAGAGTATACAGTAAAGTAAGTAACTTAGCAGGGGAAAAAATCCCAACATTCAGTAAAATATATACACAATAAAAAGATTGATAATTATTGGTCAATTTTTCACGAAGCAAATGGTCGAATTTTCATTTCGCAAGAGGTGACAGATTTTGTCCATCCAGTGACACTCTTCCAGTTCATGCCCATGCTTCCTGCAATGCCCCACTTTCCATTGAGATTCACGTAATGGCAGCTATTGTACCACCAAGCTCCGTGATTATAATTGGCGCAGACTGATGAACTTGAGTCGTTGTCTCGGTCCTTAGTTGAGAAAGCTTGCCCATTGTGGATGGCCATGTCGTTTGCTACATTACCAGAAAACCCGGATATTTGAAGTTTGTAGTTTTTAGATTCTCCATACAGTAAAAAGTTGTTGTAGATGGCAAAGTTGTCTTTTCCGTTGAATGCGAAATCGATCCTCAGTTCGTATTGCTTCTGGTGATGAGAACGAGAGGGAAATTTAAACAACTGTTTTACAGATGAGCGTGATTTCAACACAGACAAATTTAATGCAGTCTTTGAGTTCCACAAGGAAAATAATAGCCTGTCCTGGATACGGACGGTACAGACAGGTTAAAAAACAACAACACGCACCCCCCCAAAAAAACACCCCAAAACAAACAAACAAACAAACAAACAAACAAACCAGCAAACAAACAAAAAAACCCCCAACAAAACAACAAACAACTCCCCAAAGAAAAAAACAACGAGTTAGCTTTGATTGATTTTGTTTCTCCGAAAAAAAAATTCTTCTGAGTCGAGCGTATTAGTGGGTGAACATCACACGTCCACGGTTTTAGTTCAAATGTATGTCTAGTGGGCCATTAATTTACCACAAAGAAAAAAAAACGAAGAAGAAAAACATAACCGAAAATTTCTATCCCGTATCAAACACAGATACCGAGTATAAAGACATCGGTTCCATCGCGCTTCAGACAATTTAAAACTGCAAATATTACTGAACGATTGTTTTTGCTTGTTTCTTTGTTTGTTTTTTAGAAGTGAGAATGAGTGGGCGATTGTAACAAAAAAAGAAGAAGCAATCGGATGGTTTCATCGACCAAAATGAAGCTATTAATTTTTTTTTTTGACTCTAAAGATAAGTATAGGGTGGCCTAGAAGTTAAGGTGTTAGCCTCTCATTCAAAGGTCCCGGGGTTCGAATCTGGGTAGCGACCGAAGAATTTTCTTCTCTATAAATTGTCTCTTTCTTACTGCTGTCTTTCAGCCACACCCCTGATCTTCTGATAGAAAAGATCTACACCTAGCGATCTGTTGCAAAAAATACAAAATATGATAATAATGTGGGAGTAAATACGTAAGTACTTTTTATTCACTGCTCCAGGACACTGACTCGTATCACAAAAAACCCACACATTTTACATAATTTTTTTTTTTTTTGGTAAGTGTTTAACGGCGCTCGCAACAGCATAAGGTCATTTGAGCCCGCGGGGCACATTAAACTTTTTCAGTTGGCAGGACATTTTTGATTTTGCCCTGGTGGTGGTAGAAGCCTACCCTTATCGATTTTAAACCACCAAAGGATCTTTAATGTGCGCAGCGTGCACACAGGCCCTCCGAGATTTTTTGACCGTTGTCAGAGAAAGCTAGGTGAAGGTCTTTCCTACCAGAAGATCAGGGGTGTGGCTGAAAGACAGCAGTAAGTAGGAGCCAGGGGTAGCAGTAGAAAGCCTGCAAAAAAAACTAAGAGTCAGAAGCCCAAAGGAGTGGGCAAAGGAGGTGACGGGGTGGGGGCAGAAAGAGAAGACGAAAGCAGACAACAGAACATTGCTAGAGAGCAGGAAAGGAGGTGAAAGGAGACAATTTTTAGAGAAGAAAATTTTTCTGTCCCTACCCGAATCCGAACCCGGGACCTTTGAATGAGAGGCCAACACCCTAACCTGTAGGCCACGAGAGCCCCCTTACAGACGTTTGTTTGTTTGAGTAAAGAGAAACACAACGACACTCCTTTAGTGCTGGGACAGACAGACAGACAAACACCTGGGGAAAAGTAAAGAAGTTGGCCCTACCAGTAGCACTCTCCAATCACCCACTTATACAAAAGAGACTTCTGTGAAAACAGAAAATCAGCTCGGTATTTGAAAAGAAAATACTAAAGTAAATGCGAATTACCGTATTTGTCAGCTGGTGGATTTTCTCCAAACCAAACCAGAAGTTTCCAGCGAGGTCTCCAAACCCGTTCTTATAGTCTGCCCAGCCACGATAGAAGTCCACGTCGGCCGAAACCCGTCTCTGTGTACAGACAGAACTTTAGATTGTTGGGACTATTATCATACTGCAATTACAAAATTAGATCCTCAAACAGTCATGGCAGCGTTGACAAAATGGTTCAACATGTCCCGTGGTTTTATGCACCCCGCATAATTTAGCAAAATTTGATAATTTTTTGCATAAATTCCGATTATTTTCCATTATCATTCTTTGTTAAAATTAACAGAATCGCATAATTTCACATTTTTGGGCTCAGTTTGCATAATTTCAGAATTTTTCTTGCTTAAAACGACGGGGACAGTTCAACGACCACACAGAGGATGAAGGCACCACATCACACAAAATGGATAGACTAAGGGAAGCTGATGTCTAAAGAAGGTCGGGGAAAGACAGCAACCTGCGTGGAAAATCCAGAAGAGTATCCAACCAGCTGTTAACTGGTACGATCAGCAGGCAGACTCTTTCATGGATCCTGGAGAGGAGGGAGGAGCAGCTATGGCATTGTGCCTCTCTCCAACCAAGTACATTTGTAAGTAAGTATGTTAAATCAAATTGATACAATTATCATACCGGTCTATGGTTCATTCTAATTCTTGAAGTAAAACTAGATACCTTAGTACGAGTAAATTTTTAGCAACAATTTAACTTACAGGTAGATCTGTTATAGGGTTTTAAAAAAATCATTATTGAAGTTACGACCCTTTGTGTGCATCTAGCTCGTAACAGAGCATTACTGTGACATGATATTGATTTCACCTGTATCATATCAGCCTGTACAGCAGTAAAAAAAATGATGATCTTACCTGTGTTGTATTAGTCTACATAACAGTAAAATAATGATGATCTTACCTGCATTGTACTGGCTTGTATTGGAGTGAAATGTTGCTCACACTTGTATTGTATATGCCTGTATTCAGGTAAAAATCTTGTGAATAATCTTACCTGCTTTCGTCTCTTCTTTCTACCCCACCCCCCCACCTCCTTTTCCTCCTCCTCTGGGCTCCTGACTCTTTCTGCAGCCTTCCTTACCCTCCGTAAATGAATGTTTCTTCTAATAAACGAGATAATCAGTTGAAAGCGTTAGAACTGTTTCTGAATCTTCCGCCTCCGTTTTAGTTGCATGCGGTGAACACACACGCTTCCTCATTTCCCACCAACTGAAAATGTTTGGTGTGTCCTGCGCGCTCATATGACCTTACCTTATGCAGTTGCGAGCGCCGTAAAACATTTACCGAAAAGAAAAAGGAATAACCTCACCTGTATAACTATCCACCCGCCGCTGTCAGTCTTGGTGTCGCAGACAACAGTCATGCCGTTAATGAGAGTGACCACGGGTCGGTGTTTTGAACTCTGTACGTCAGCACACGATTCGGGCTGGGGGAGAAATCTTTGATTTTAATAAGAGTTTTACGCACTTGTAACACAATTATATGTATACGCACACACACACACACACACACACACACACACACACACACACACACACACACACACACACACACACACACACACACACACACATATATATATATATATATATATATATATATATATATTTATAAGCACCAAAGATAAGAGGTGTTACAAAAGAGTAACAAACACAACAACAACAACAACAACAACAACAAAAGAAGGGATAAGGACGATAGGTGTTTGATGGGAAAGAAGGAACAAACCGCATCTGAGCACTGAGCACCCACTAACCACCCACGAGATAAAAACAATAGAAAAAGAGTAGAGTGGTGTGCAGCTGTGTGAGATGGCGAGGTAAAATCGGGCAGGCTTCTACACAGTACAGAGGATCCCAGGCGGGCTGAGGAGACAGGTGGAGTGGCAGCTAGAAGCCAGAATCCGGAACTTGAGATGTCAATCATTCAGTTGATCATTCATTCAAATTTTCAATTTATCACTCAATTAATTTATCAGTTATCGCTTAGTCAATTTCTCAGTTTATCCCTCAATCCATTTTCGAATTTATCCCTCAACCCATTTCCGAGTTTATCACGGAGTCAATTTCTCAATGTATCACTCAGCCAGTTTTTCAATTTGTCACTCAATTCATTTTCCAGTTATAGATTCTATTGTCAATTTTTCAATTAAAAATTCCGTCATTTTTTAAATTTATTACTGAACTTATTTCCCAGTTATAATGCACTTAATTTCCCAGTTTACGCTCTGTCTGTTTCCCAGTTCATCACAAAGTTAATTCCCAATGTATCACTCAGTCAATTTCCCAGTTATCATTTATTGAATTTCTCAGTTTATCTCTCAGTTCATTTACCGGCCGGGGGCTCTCGTGGTCCAGAGCTTAATCAATAGGTCCCGGGTTGGAATCTGGATAGCTTCTGGAAATTTTCTTCTCTTAATTTTTCTCCCCCTTTCCTGCTCTCTAGCAATGTTCTGTCATTTGCTTTCGTCTCCACTTTCTACCCCCACCTCTTCTCCTCCTTTGTCCCCTCCTCTGGGCTCCAGACTCTTTCTGCAGCCTTTCTACTGCTACTCATTGGCTCCTTACAGCTGTCTTTCAGCCACACCCATGGTCTTATAGTAGGAAAGATCTACGCCAAGCCTTCTCGGACAAGGGCGAACAAATCTCAGAGATCCCGGGTGCAAGTTGTGCACGTTTAAGATCCCTTTGTGGTCCAAAATCGATAAGAGTAGGCTTCGGCCGCCACTCAAGGCAAAGTTTAAAATTTCCTACCAACTGAAAATGTTTAATGTGTCCCGCGCGCTCACATGACCATATTATGCAGTTGCGAGCGCCGTAAAACACTTACCTAAAAAAATATTTTAAAAAATCTGTTACCACTCTATCAATTTGTCAATTAATTTTGTTACTCATTCAATTTCCGAGTCTATCACTCTGTCAATATGTTCTGCTAAAGTGTCAGTCGACAAAATTAAATAACTTTTGATACTCAGCAAGAAATACGAACCCTTTTACTCAGGACTGATAACATAGTACATTCTAACTCGAAGTTTAAGGTCACCATCTGACAAAAAGAAATCTATTTTATCATCTATGAAAAATTAAAACAATGGGTGAACTGAAAGGGCATGTGAATACTAATGCCACAAGATCTGTAATGTTTTACCAAGTACTTTAAGAGAGATCAAATCTTTTGATTCATTCAGATGTCAGCTGATGTCGTTTCTGTTTTTAAATTAATAAGATGAATATAATTTGGAGTAATTTTCAAAACACAACGTCTTATGTTACTGTTGTATGTTATACTGTATTGTAAACCGCTCAGAGCCTGTGTACTTTAATCGGGGTGGGCGCTATATAAATGTCATTTATTATTATCATTATTATTATTATATTATTATTATTATTATTATTATTATTATTATTATTATTATTATTATATTATTATTATTATTATTATTATATAAAATAATGATGTCATTTCTCTTCTTAATGAAACACCAGGTTGGAATTCACGTAACTCTCAGCTGACTTTATTCAATCTTAGGACCGACTTTTTTAAAAGTGTCGCAAATTAGCGTCTACGTCTCTCTCTCTCTCTCTCTCTCTCTCTCTCTCTCTCTCTCTCTCTCTCTCTCTCTCTCTCTATATATATATATATATCTCTCTATATATATATATATATATATATATATATATATATATATATATATCCCTCTCTCTCCCTCTCTTTCCCTCTCTCTCTCCCGTTCTCACTCTCCCTCTGTCTTTCATCCACCATTTTTCAAAAACCAGTACAGTTAGATAGATAGATAAATAGATAGATAGATAGATAGATAGATAGATAGATAGATAGATAGATAGATAGATAGATAGATAGATAGATAGATAGATAGATAGATAGATAGATAGGAGAGTCATGAAGAGACTTGTAGAGGATCATGGATAAGTATCCACTTTTAAACATCCAAGGACGCAAGTTTCTTTTGCGATGTTTAAAAAAAAAATTGTGTCACGACATGGTGGAATCAGGGGGTCGTCAAATTTGGGGCATATGGAGGCATTGGTATCATCCTAAAGCGTGTTCATTTGTTCTCTTTTTGATAAAAAGTACCCTTTTATCTTGAATGGTGAAATATAGTGGAATGGTAAAGGTTATATGCTGTTTGTGGACGATCAAGGCCTGGCATATGAGAAAGAAGAGCAACTTCAAGAGCACACAGACAGGCTGAATACACAATGTGAAAAGCTCAACATGAAGATCAGTAAAAGCAAAACGGAGACGATGAAAATCAGCAGAACACCTGACAACCTTAACATCACCATCGACGGAAATCCGCTGAAACAAGTCAGCAAGTTCAAGTATCTTGGTAGCATCTTTTCGGAAGACGGAAGTCTCAACAGAGAAATTGAGACGAGAGTACAAAAGGCTAGCAGCGTCAGCTACCAGCTTGCCCCACTCCTAAAAAACATCTTAATTTCCCCGTTGAGACCAAAGTCAAGCTCATTAACTCCATCTTCATCCCCACCTTGACCTACCAGTGCCAGACATGGACCCTGACCAAAAGTCTGGAACGTAAGATAACCAGCTGCGAGACGAGATGTCTAAGGAGAGCCGTCAACAAAACCAGACGGGACATGGTCGGAAACAGCAAGATCAGAGAAATGGTGGGAACAGCACCTGTCCTCCACTACATCCGAAGGCAAACAATCAGGTGGTTTTGACATCTCACATATATGGCACCTAACCAGTTTGCCAGTAAAGCCTACTACAGGAAATTATCAGGGTACAAAGCAAGAGGAAGACCAAGAAAGAACTGGATCCAGGGTGTGAAGGATACCCTGAGAACATTCAATATCCCACATCCCACCCAGCCAGGCAATCAAACTTGCTAGAGACAGGAAGCTCTTTCTCCCCTCTACACCTTAAAGGTACAGAGGACGGATAAAGTAAAGTAGAGTAAGTAAGGTATAGCTTATACCCCCCCCCTGTCAACACTGTTATCTATCTTGAATACTGTAATAGTCGTACTATTTGCTATTGAAGAAGATGAGAGTCGCCTGGTGTCAGAGGAGGAATAAGCAAGAAAGTGATCGCCTTAATTTGGTGGCTTTCAAAGTTTGAGTGTCATTGGCAACGGACAATTTACTTTTTGTGCATTTGATCAACGGTTTTCAACACAATCCACTCGTAGTTGAGTTTTTATGTGCTCATAAAAGGGGCTGATCCCAAATTCATTTTTTAGAATTGCCAAACATGAGGGAAAATGTCGGTTTCTTCGATACGATACCACATATTTCCTGACTATTTCTGGACAAACAAGTCCTGCATAAATAAGGTTAACTCATCAATATTGGAGATAAAAAACTTTGAAAGGTTCTCACCCTTAGCTGGATCTTCATAGCGTTCAGCTTGCTGTCGAAACTCGCTTCAAGGGCCTGGACTTTCGCTGTGACACTTTCAAGAATGTCTTCTTTTTGTTGTAGAAATGTTGTTTTCTCCTGCTCAAAGGTCTCTTTAATACTTTCAAGCATGTCATCTTTCTGTTGCTGAAATTCTCTTTGCGTTGCTGTGGCACTTTCAAGAATGTCTTCTTTTTGTTGTAGAAATGTTTTTCTCTCCTTCTCAAAGGTCGCTGAGATACTTGCACGAATATCATCTTTCTGTTGCAGAAGTTCTCTTATGCTCAGGTCAGCTGTGGCCGTGACATTTTCAAGGATGTCTTCTTTCTGTTGTAGAAATTCTTTTTTGTCATGACCCATGATGATCGCCATGTGTTCTAGGATCTGACGTATCTGCGAGAGTGGTTGGTCAGGACACTGCCTCGTCTTCTGCTCTACCGTGTGGCTCAGAACCTGTAAAGTGACGTCACAAATTACGATTATGATGGTTATCGTAAAGCTAAAGTACAGCTGAAATTGTCCAAGATGGCCACCCATAGTCATGGGGGGAAGAGGTTGTTTTAAACAGGTGAACGTTTGTGACAGTGTGATTATAGTATCTTTTAAAAAGGGGGGAGGGGTGGGAAATGGTCGTTTGTCTTGGACAGGTGACCGTTAGAGAAGGTTCGATTGTATACCCCCCCCCCCTTGTTAATTAATTTTTTAAAAATATTAATAAATATACAAAAAAGATAAATAAAATAGAAATGCATATTGTAAAAAAAATAGCCTTGCGACTCGCAAAAAAAGGATGGCCGCCCACTGCTTACTGTGCCCACACGGTGTGTGTATCCCCCCCCCCCCCCCCCCCCCCAACCAAGAAAGAAAAATTAAATAAAGGTTTACAATAAATAAATAAGCAAAAACAAAACAAAACAACAACCCCCCAAAAAACAACAACAACACAAAACAATAAAATGAAAATTCATATTGTAAAAAAATAGCCCCGCGACTCCAAAAATCACAAGAATGACGACCCACCGTTTACTGCAACACCAACGGTGACCTTGGATATTGCACTCTCGGTCAGGGAGTGGAGTTACAGATGGGGGGGGGGGGTACGCTTTACTTCTACCAACATTAATATGCTTGTTACCTTCTGACATTTCACTCACTCGGAATGCAAATGTAGAAACATCACTCTAAAACTGTCTCATTTCACCTCCTTTCCTGCAATGTTTTGTCGTCTGCTTTAGTCTCCCTTTTCTGCCCCACCTCCTTTGTCCCCTCCTCTGGGCTCCTGACTCTTCCTGCAGCTTTTATAATGGTACTCCTTGGCTCCTTACAGCTGTCTTTCAGCCAGACCCCTGATCTTCTAGTAGGAAAGATCTACACCTTGCCTTCTCGTAAAGGGTGAAAAATCTCGGAGGTCCCGTGTTCAAGCTAAAGATACCTTGGTGGTATGAAATTGATATGAGCAGGATTCGGCCGCCACCTGGGCAAAATTCAAAATTTCCTACCAACTGAAAATGTTTGGTGTATCCTGCACACTCATATTATGACCTCATGCAGTCGCGAGCGCCGTAAAACACTTATAAAAAAAAGAAAGAAAAAAAAGAAACATCACAATGGTGCCTGTCACAAGAATTATCAGTCGGTACACACCAAATTAGCCGCAGATATAGATCCCATCTACCAGTCTGTGGTGTCCCACTTAGGTACTCCCTTGTCGCAGAGGGAAAAGATACTGGACAAGTGAACAACATGGCTGGGAAGAGCAAGAACAACAGACACCATCGCTGCAACGCGGGACAGAGTGAAATGGAGGTCCATGATCGCCCACGCCACACGGCAAGGCACGGGATGATGAGGATGATGATCCTCCCTTACTTCTCTCCTACCCATCGTCCTCCTCCTCCTCTTCCTTCTCCTCCTCCCCCATTCTTATCTTCATCGTCGTCCTGCTCCTCTTCCTCATGTTCCTCCTCCTCCGACCTCTCCCATATCTTCTTCCTCTTCCTCCTCTTTCTCCTCCTCCTCCTCCTCCTCCTCCTCCTCCTCCTCCTCCTCCTCCTCCTCCTCCTCCTCCTCCTCCTCCTCCTCCTCCTCCTCCTCTTTCTCCCCTTTCTTCTTCTCCTCCTCCCACATGAAACGTTTAGTTTAGCTGCACGTTCTTTTTGGAAAAGTTATTCCTCGGTAAATGTTTCCTCGTCACGAGAGAGGACTAGAAAACCCCGGCCTCACCAAACATCACTCCTCATTAGTAAGGCGCAATACTCATAGAAAGATTCTGTGAGTGGTTGGCGCGTGCTCTGGTTTTGGTTTGCTCCTTCTATCCTATCGCTGTTATCTCTCCTTCTTCTTTTTTTTGTATGTCACCATCTAGTATCCCCTCTAATCTTCAGCACTTAGAATAGTATGACCTATTTGTGTCCCAAGTGCCTTAAACGTATAGAAAAACAAAACAAAACTAAACTAAACTAAAGAAAAGCTCACCTGTAACTGGCTCTTCCACTTGCTCTCAAAGCTGGCCTCGAGAGCCTCCACCTTGGCTGTCACGTTCTGGAGAACCTCTTCTGCTTGCTGCACGCAGTCTGTCTTGTTGTCCGCCGCAGTTTCTGTGACATCTTCCATATTTGTCTGTTTCTTAGGGCGCTGTCGCTGGAGGTCCTCCTCCTTGTTCTCCTCCTTGTTCTCCTCCACCACCTGACTCTGCAGAGTGACCCCCTTCTTCCGGGAGATGGAAGTCGGCATGCTCTTCTGCCAGCTCACCCCCGCCTGGGCGGTCAGGCTGATAGCGTCACATCGATACATGCCAACAATATCGTTAGTCGCCACAGGCCACGTTAACCGCAGATACCTTTTGGAGATCTTGCCTTCAGCGAGGACGTCATTGCGTTTCGCCGATACCTTGGTTCCGTCGACTCGAAGATCTGCAGTTATGGTCCATCCAGAAAGGTCTTTTTTCAGTATTCTCACCATGATGACCTCTGAAATGCCCGGTAGGGGATAATTGTCGACACATTCTAAGGAAACGTTTGTCGTTCTCCCAACTTCCACTTCATCAGTCGTCGTTTTGAGGACTAGTGCGCTGGAGGACAGGAACACTGCTGCTGCCAAAAATATATAACCAGACATCGCGCTGGCGTCCATTGCCAGAACTCAGTTTGTTGTTCTTAGTTACAAAGATCTGTATGTGGCTTTGTCAGAAGAAAGTCTGTAGAAGAGAGACATACATGATAATATTTCAACCGAAATTTTGGGTGTAAAGCGAAACTTTCATACTTCTTAAGAATCAACAATGATGTGTATTTGTGCATTATTTAACAAATTTGAAACACATTTTAAATTGGAAAAAAAAACAACCTAACAAAAGCCCAG